TCACATCAGGAAGTCAATTTTGGCCTATTATGGCATCTATTGAAAACATTGATGTGTACACATTACCATTCATAATTGGTGTATATCATGGTATGTCTAAACCTAATGATGCAAATGAATTTTTAACTGGTTTTGTTAATGAATTTCTTGGTCTTTGTCAAAGTGGTTTCATGGTTTGTAATAAAAAATACACTGTTAGTATTAACGCAATAGTATGCGATGCTCCAGCCAGATCTTTCATATCATATACTAAAGGTCATACCGGATATTTTGCTTGTACGAAATGTATACAAGAGGGCGATTTTGTATGTAATAGGGTCACTTTTCCTGAAATTCATTGCACTTTGCGTTCAAATGATTCATTCAAAAATCGTATTCAAGTTGAACATCATAATGGTAATTCTATATTAGAGAAACTTTCCATTGGTATGGTATCACAAATTCCGTTGGACTACATGCATCTTGTTTGTTTGGGTGTCATGAAACGATTGCTACAATTATGGGTTAAAGGTAGAAAAGATATCAGATTATCAAAACAAAATATCGATACAGTTTCGCATCACTTATTTGCAATCAAGTCTTGTATACCATCAGAATTTGCAAGAAAACCGAGAGGTTTAAATGATATTGATAGATGGAAAGCTACAGAATTTCGTCAATTTTTACTTTATACTGGCATTGTTGTAATGACAGGTGTAATAGCACCAATGTTTTATAATCATTTTCTTTCTCCGAGTATTGCAATACGAATATTAACTGATCCAGAATTATGTATAACATTTAATGCTTATGCAAATTCATTATTAGTATGGTTTGTATCTCGGTATGGAGATATTTATGGTTATGAACATCTGTCATACAATGTTCACAATCTTGTTCATCTTGCAAATGATGTAAAAACATTTGGATGTTTAGAAAACTTTAGCTGTTTTAAATTTGAAAATCATATGCAAAAAATTAAAAAGAAATTACATACATCCGGAAAACCTTTACAGGAATTGTGCAATCGCGTATTTGAAGAATTACAGATTCCAATTCAACCGTGTCGCATGGAACAGTATCCAATCGTTACTTACAAACCGCATTCAATGAATAAGAGCATTTCTTATCTGAAATTTAAAAGCTTCAAAATTTCTCTTAACGAAATTGACAACTGTGTTTTGCTTCGTAGTAGGTATATAGCTTTCATTTCAGATATATTTGAAAAGAATGATGAAATACTTATTCGTGCACAATGTTTTTTAAATCCAAAATCTCTATTTACAGTTCCATGCGCTTCGGAAAGACTTAGTATATTCGTGATATCAAACAGTACTACTTCAGACATTCTTGAAGTTCCAATAACACAAGTCCAAAAAAAGTGTTTAAAAATAAAGAGTATTATCGATATTGAATCGTACATAGTAATACCGCTACAACTTAGTAATAATTAAATGATACAAATACATAAAAATTGATTTAACATATTTGTAACATTTTATTATCGTCCTTATCATAAATATTGTAATCGTTGCATTCGTGAGAACAGCAAATTTTTCAAAGGTGAGGAACAGTTTTATCTTACAATATTTTTGTTCATGTTCTCTTTTATTAATTAATGTTTTTAATTTTTGTATATTTAAAATTTTTTATTGCGACTAAAAACTCAAATGAATAAATCTGTTATTCATCTCATGTCCTTATTTATTTCATTGCATGTTTTAGCATTTGTCCTAAAACGTGACATACGTTTCAACAGTTTGCATATATTAAAATAATGATTAATACAATAATAATTGTATTAATTAAACTATCAGAATCGAGAGAAAGGGCTCTGAGCCGTGACGAGATGTACGTGTCAATATTTAAAAATAATTTATTGTTATAATAACATAAAGATTAGACGTTTCGGTCGTATTCTAGACCATCTTCAGTACAGTAATATTATATAAAGTTTCATGACGGTTAACATTAAACGTAAGTCGTGTACAGCATAGTAGAAACGCAGTTTGGAATAATTATCATGTACCCGAATGAGTTATTAGTTTGTTATCATACGAGCCTTTGTCACATAATTAAACTATATTTGTTGCACAATATCTGTAATAAGTGGCATTTGTTAATATTTAATGCTCAATTGCAATCTGTATAAATTATTATTTCTTTTTCCTAGATTTGTTGTCTTCAAAATATGTCTTCTTCACAAAGTTCTTCTTCGAAAAGTTACGCAGTGGTGAAATTTCTATCTGATTCGACATTCTCAGAAGTGCCAGTTAATTGGATTTCAAAAAGTGGTGATACTGCTTATTGTTGGTGGCCACCACGGTCATCAAACAATGCAATGTTAATTGCTAACTGCGTAAATCCAAACTACAAATTGTGGCATAACTTTGAGGTGGAAGTGATCAAATATTGTTGTAAGTACCGGGATAGCTTTAGAACAGACCCAACCTACGCAACGATATGATTATAAATTGAGGAGACAATTGTCTTTATAATTACTATACTGTGAAAACTAAGTAAAATATGTTTATTTCAGCCTCTCTTGAATCGGCACGAAAAAGTGCGGCAGATGGAAATTATAATACGACGGATGAGGACCGATGTGGTCGAGGAAAGAGACAACATGTTCCTCATCAACCGTACAGTTCGGACGACGAATTGGAAAATACCAAATATAGACAGTTAAAGAAACGTATGTATATTAGAAATATATGTATGCTCTCTATATTCTATTTTTATAACGACAATTATATAATTTATATAATATTTATATATAATTTATAATTATATAAAATTTATTACAATTTGAATAGAATTATAAATTATATAGAATTATAAAATATATATAATTTATAATTCTATATATATAATTATATATAATTTATAATTCTTTACAATTCTTTTAAAATAATATATAACTTATAATTCTATTCAAATTGCAATTGTCATTTACTTTTCTTTCATTATATTGCATTTAACAAATTATTACATCTTATAATGAAACGTATCAAATTTTTTGTTTACAGAAAACCAAACCCAACCGAAGGTGCTTTCCCTCATGGCACCAGCATGTCCCGAAAATTTCGGAATTAATAAACATACACAAGATAATGGAACCTACGGAAATAGAAATAACGATGCACTTTCACAATCTTGTACGTAATCGATATTGAACATGTGCGTAATAAAATAATATTGTGCTTATGTAATACTTATATTCATGAATGTTCAACAGATATTGAAGCTGCAACCGAAAATAATGGCAACAGTCCAATTTACAGTTCTGAACGTAAGCAAGATGAACTGGTGCAAAATGTTCAGGATATAATAATCCAAGGTATGTACATTGTTTACATCAACAGAAATTAATGTTAGCAGTAATAATACATTTGTAACAATATTTCAGATTGTACTTCTGAGTTTCCTGTTTCTTTTCATCTACAAGAGAGTATACAAGGGCTACAAGGTATATAATTTTGTGTAAACAGTTTTACTTACAGTTCTAACAAATGTATTTTTTGTATATATCTAAAATTGACAATAACATTACAGAAAGTGTTAAAGCAATACAACGTTTGGTAGCGGCAGGAAATCTAGCAATAAAAGACAACACTGAACGGTTAAGAAGACTAGAAGATACGATCAAAAAACGGGTATTACAAGAACCAATGGATAATGATGACAGTTTAATTCGACAATTTTTTCCTATCAGCGAAATAGAAGACATACGACATGTAGAAGACATATTGAAAAGTAATCAAGAAGCAGTGACGCAATTCGTAAGTTTTCATATTTACTTGTAATATTAACACACACACACACACACACACAGACATATACGGACCTTCGTTCTTAAATTACATAACATTGAAAATTCTTTTTTTATGTATTTGCATTGTGCTTTGAATCTTTTACAGAACCGATTTCTAATCAAAATTGGCGGAAATAATCCAAGAGACAATTTACATCGGATTTTGAAGAATGTCTTCACAAATGACTTTGCTATGGCTTGTTCATGGAAGGGGAGAAGAGATAATTTCAAAATTTGTGACTTGAAATTGATACAAATAATGAGAAGTATGTACAAAGGTATTTTGAAATGTTAGAAATATGTATTCAAACGTTTTTATATTGTTAAATTATTATTTCTCTTTTTCAGGACAAGTTCTTTCGCGTCACGTAACAGTAACAGAGACGGAGTTTGAAAGTATCGTGGCAGAGTGGTTACGTTTTGCCAAACAACGTCAACAAAGAAGCAGTAAGAATAAAAATGTACCTGAAGAAGATGAACAACAAAGGACCGATATAAATGAAAATGTTCCTGAAGAAGATAATGCCTAATGCATTTTGCCGGTTGTTTTTTCGTGTTGAAGGTAATATAAGATCTCGCCAAAAACTTTATATATATGTATATATAATATATACATATATATATATTATATATCGCAACCTCTCTCTCTG